GTTTCCGCTTGAATTTCCTCAACTGTATCAAATCTTCGCCCCTTCAACTTGATTTTCATCTTGGGGAAGAGAAAGAAGTCGCATGGAGCTAAGTCTGGCGAGTACGGTGGGTGGGGAACAACTGCCATCTTGTTTTTAGCCAAAAATTCCTGCACAATGTAAGCCGTATACGGTCATGCGTTGTCACGGTGAAGTACCCAGTTGTTCGTGCGCCACTTCTCTGGACGTTTTCTCCTCATGTCCTCCCTCAAACGACTTAGAACATCGCAATAGAACTCTTTTATTGACTGTCTGACCAGGAAGGACGAACTCCTTATGAACAATCCAGTCAATATAAAAAAGCAGATCGACATAGACTTAATGTCGCTCTTGACTTGTCAAGCTTTTTTTTGGCCGAGGTGAAGAAGGGCTCTTCCATTGCAACGATTGCTGCTTGCTTTCAGGGTCGTAGCCATAAACCCAACTTTTGTCACCAGTGACAACCTTCGAAAGAAAGTTTGGATCCTCTTGAAGCTGTTGCTGAAGTTCCCTGCAGACTTCCAAGCGATGCTGCTTCTGTTCATTTTGCAGCAGTCATGGCACAAACTTCACCGTAATCCTCCTCATATTCAGTTTCTCTGACAAAATTCGTTGACATGTACCATAACTTAGTCCCAAGGTGTTACAGAGGTCTTGGATGGTCAGTCTACGATCTTGTAGAATCAGATCCCTAACTTTCACGACATTTTCTGGTGTATTGCCCTTTGACGGCCGTCCCGAACGATCGTCATCATCAGTCAATGTTCGGCCATTTTTAAAACGCTTATACCAGTTGTGAGTTTGTGTCTGGCCTAAACTGTTTTCACCAAAAGCTTGCTTCAACATTTGGTGCGTTTCTGCAGCAGTTTTCCCAAGTTTGAAACAAAACTTTATACAGACACGCTGCTCTCTCAGGTCAGCCATCGCAAAACCGCAAACTCACGGAAACACAACAGTAGAAATACGTTCACCAACAATAAACCCAACCACTTAACTCGGCGCCGCTTGCCACGCTGATTCAAGAAGGATGTGTGAGGAGACACCTAGCGGTATTTTGATGTATTCATAACCATTCCTGCGCAAAATTCAAATTTCAGTAACTTTTGGATTGCCCCACGTATATTGAATTTAATAATACAGTGATTTGTGTTTATAATCAAGCATGGACCGTAACTATGCTCTGTCCCTCTGCAAGATGGTTCAGTGTATATGAAAACAAGAGAAACTACCCATTCTTTTCCTGGGATTTGGTTGTTTTTCTTGTCATTATCACAGTATGTAGTAGTTAAAATTTTAAAAAAGAACAACACTCGGATTAAGAAACCAAAGTTTAATAATGTAATAAAACAGGAACAGATTGGGATCAGGGATTTGAATCACATCCAGAAATTCCACTGTTATACTCTCACATCACTTTAACACCCATGGCTACCATACTACCTGTGCCATCTGGCCTGCTTGTGCCTCCCATTCATTTGTAACGTTGACACTGCTCCCCTCTAGATTGCTCTGGAGACTCCCAAAAGCAAGGGTTTCCCAAGAAACATTGAGGTACTTCTCAAAGTACTGACCCTATAAAACGTATCTGTGAAATTTCCAAGAGGTGGCTGTCGTAGTTAGGTGTATAAATATGAGAAGAGATAGTGTTAACACAGATGCAAGTGTACAAGCAAATATGAAGCAGTGAGTGCTGTGAATTGCAAGTTGGTGCAGTCTGGTAAAGAGCCAGTGAGTTAATAGTAAAGCAGTTTGCAGTTCAGTTGAGTGTAGAAGACAGGAAGTAAATTTAGTGCAGGCAGAGAAAGGCGAGAGAAGTACAGTGGCCAAGGAGTGGTGTTACAGTTAAATATTTGGTGGAAAAAGAACTGACATGAAGATCATAAGTGGTTACTGATGGTGAGACAAGAACTGCTCCAATTAACATAAACCATTACATATTTACAATTCTTTGGAGTTTCTTCAGGTGTTCCCTATTAAGTCTGCAATGGGAAAAAGGAACTGATAGATAACTTGTATTCCTGTATATGGTGATATTATTATAGGGCTTCTCACAGTCACGAACCATTCAGGCAGGTGAGTCATATGCTCCTCCCATTAAGTTGGGCTGTGGAAGTGAGACTGTAATCATAACCAATAAACCTGTGTTATATTACAAATAAACATCCAGAGTACAACTGATGCCATAAATGCTCTCTTTTGTTACACATGCAGACCTGGCACTCTACAAAAAGTTTACATTCAGGCATTGAAATTCCATATTAGAAACAGAGTAAACCTGAAACTTGAAACTTATCTCGTGTAGAAAGATTTCATTCAATTTCTCTTCAGCATACCTCCACTCCTCCAGAAAGAGTGAAATGGGTGCTAGATTTGAACATTCTCCTGATGACATGAACAACAGATTTTTTCCAACATATGGAATCTTGGTGCCAAGCCCCTTGAGGCTCAAGGCCAGAGGTTTTTGTTTCCTTTTTTTTCTCCCACCCCCTCACTGAGCCATGGTCCTAGTCCTTATGTAACTTCCTCTGTGATAAGAGGGTGGATTTGTCTCTTGTGAATATGTTTGGCCTTTTGTCAAGTGTATGTATTGCACATATAGCATGTTACTGAAAATTCTTTCTTTTGCACTATATGTATACAAGTCCTGTGTCAGTCCCAACTTCGCAAAGCAGATCATGCCTATCTTACTTATCTTATGCTACAATGGCAGCTTAGTCATTTAAAGGATTGTAAGCTTGACCACCACCAAGTTTAGCCTCTTATATTTTCTTTGTCTGGCTTCGCCTTGTCCTATACTGCAAACATGTTCATTCTTATGATTTTTTATGACTTTTGCTTGTTACCTGCACAATTTTGTAATATAATCGTATACATATGGAAGGTTGAAAGCCATGCACAAATCATGGACTGGTGTACACCTTGGAAAATATCCAGTGGTGTCAAGAACTTTATTTTGCAGGCGCTGCTATATTAAGAGGTAATATCCTCAGCACAGACTGCATATAAAACAGCTTCCAGCAGTTCCTCTGTTGTTATGTGATGTGTTATACAGGCTGTTGCCTAGTGATGGCCTCAGCCATCGTGTCACATTATTTTACAATATAATTAACTCTCCTTTATTTTATATATTTTCTGATCTTTTAACCATCACTGAATTATTGTCCTAATGACTGAGTGTAGTTTATATTGTTTGAATTTTAAAAATAATTTGTGTGTTTGCAGCTAATCTTGGCAATGAAGATGAGGACAAAGTATCTGTAATTTCAGACCTGGAATCAATTCTTACATTTTACTGCAAGTCTAAAAGCCTGAAATATGAGAAGGGCAATGGGTGGATTGAAATCTTACTTCCTCTTATTGCACTTAAATTACCGAGGTCTGAAACATACAACTTGTTTGAGGCTATCAAGAACTGCTACATTCCAAGGTTTGTAAGGTTATCATCTTTTCTATTACAAGTCTGCACAACATATAGATTAGATTCAGGTGATATGAATCTAGTCCCATTGAAGAGCGAATACTTGCTTGGCTGGGGAGGCAATTCCTGTCTTTCCTGGAACCATGGGTTTAGTACTAAGTTCACACAGGCATACTACTGGAGTGTATCCATAGTTTTTTTAATACTGTCCGCATCATCGCACATAATTCCTTTAAGATCCATTTTAATGTTCTCCCATCTGTGTCTTTATCTCCAAAGTGGACTCTTCCCTTCAGGTTTTCTGAATTAAATCTTGTATATATTTCACATATTTCTTATTCATGCTATGCGTCCCATCTATCTTGTTCTCTGTTTGCTCATTAGAACAATATTTTGTGAAGAGCATGAAGGATGAAGCTTCTTTATTGCAGTTTTCTTTAACGTGCTGCTGCTTTGCCTCTTCTAGAGCCAAATATTCTCCTCAACACATTGTCAGAAATATGTATTGTGACGTGTTGCGCTATATATGATGCCCCTCCCCCTCACCCCGCCAGCCGTGACACGCCAAGCGGAGCTGAAGTTAGCCGAGTCCCAGCATCCTGGTAGCTATGCAACACGAGTCAACAGCGGTGACGTCACAAAGGGATACCGCGGTTGCTAGGCAGCAGTAAACAACTCCGGACAGTGTTACTAGTAACACAGCACCAGATAACAATGGTGCCTATTACGTGGCTGTTTTCTGAGTTGTCCGGAACGAGGCTAGATATGGAGCAGCGAAGACTATTCACAGTTAGTTCTGAGTTAGTTCCGAGCAAGCCTACGAGTCAGAGTGTGTGATCAACAGTTCTCCATTTAGCCAGCGGGGAGTAACAAGTTAGCCAGCAATCAGTCAGTTGTATTCTGGCATTTGCAGTGTAGTATTTGTGATACTGCAGATAGCAGTAATTGTCAGATTGTAAATTGTGTGATTGTAGAGCGAATGTGGAATAAAATTCGCTATATCAAGTAAGGCGTGAAGTTATTTTGTTGCGTTATACCCAACACGTGACAGTATATTTATTTATAATATTTATTAATTTATTTTATGCTTGTTCTATTATAGATTTTTTGTTTCATTTTCATACAGGCACAAATTGCCCTAGAAGCTGGCATTCCTCTAAATTCTCTTGAACTCCTCAACACCCAGTTTTCATATACCCTCAATCTTCATTTTTCTCTTTATGTTAGAGACCAAGTTTCATGCCCATGTAAAAGAACAGGTAAAATTACAGTTTTGTATATTTGAATCTTTATGTTTTTTGATAGTCAGGGTGGCAAAATATTTTGAGCTGAATGGTAGTGAGCACTCCCTGATTTTAATCTGCTCATAGTTTCTTCATGAATGTAATGCTGATGTTGCCACTGTTGTTCCCAGATTTTTAACTTTAGTGTAATATTTTTTCTAATATAGCTACATCATAGATAAATTTTATGCATGTTTAAAGTAGACTGTTTGGAACTATTCTTCTATCCTTCAAAATTTGGTTGAATATATTTAATTGTAAGCCTGGACAAAATAGAAACTTTCAAGGCCGTAAAGCAGTGTTTCTCAACCGCTGGGCCGCGCAGCCCAGTACCGGGCCCTGGCATCAGTCATACCATGCCCTCATCTTATAGAAAAAAGAATTTGCCCGGCCACGGTTTGACAGAAGTTGAGAACCCCTGCTGCAAAGTCATATGAAGATATAACTTAATTGCAATAGTGCATAGTCTTACAGGAAACTATACATAAGTATGATGTATTGTATGAAGATTGCATTATTAATCAGAAATTATGTTCTAGGGATAGCATAAAACAAACGATTTTTTAATTTCTTCCTTTGTTCTGGACATGAGTGATGAAAATACTCTAGTATTTATCTGTTTTCATGATATGGAATAAGTGAATTGATTTTGAAGTAGGTAAGTATGGGTATGTTCTTAGTTCACTAGTGTAGGGTGGAATAAAGACATGAGTTTCATTCCAAATCCAGATTCTGAATTTTCAAATTTTTCATTTCACATTTCTACCATTATATGAGCACCGCTCTCCTTGTTCTTTCATTCATTCTTGAAGTAGCAGACTGTTTTTTAATCATTATTCTGTTGTTTCCTTAATTTTGTTTCAGTACACAGTGTATTTTTTTTTTTTTGTCTGGGGATGGTGAATTTTTCTGGTTTCTGTTTAAAAGTTCTCAATTTGTAAAAGATTGTTTGGCCATGTAAGCTTGCATTGTAGTAAATTTTGTGCTTGTTTTCTCATGCAGTTTCTTTTAACTTTCCAAAATGTGCACCTGTCACCATTACAGTTTCTTGTGAATACCCTATCTGAAGGGCATAGAAATGAAGTATTTGGAATACTCTATACAAATAGCCATTAAAAAGTATACTGTCACAAACTTCATTTGTGTCTTTGTCATCTTGTGTGCACATTGGATAACAGGGAAAGGAAGGTACACTTGTCTTAAAACAGTTACCATATGAAGGAGAGTCAGTAAATAGGTCACAATTGGAAGTAAAACAGCTGTAATGGACATAATAGGTTTTCTGTGTGTATCGCTAGATAGCAACACAGTCAAGCTTCATGACAATGTAGGTAGCAGGTGCACATGCCCATGTTCAGAGGCTGGTTTTAGTAGTCAAAATGGCGAACGTGCTTGAGGGTATACTACAGAAGAGCACCATTCTGTTGTGCTTTTTATGTGGGCAAAATGACTCAGTGCAAAGGATGTTCATAAAGAAATGTTTTCTGTTTATGTTGAGAAGTGTTTGTCACATAAAATAGTTCACAACTGGGTTGAGAAATTCTCTTACCAACACTCAAAAGTCGCAGATGATGCCCGACCAGTTCTCTCTGTTGAGATTGTGACAGAAGCAACTGTGTAGTAGATGGAAGAGTTGAGTGAAGCTGGCAGGAGGGTAATGATAGACAGTACAGCAATGCACTAGGGTGTTCCCATGGTTTAGCATACAGCATAATCAATGATCTTTCTAAGTTCCATAAATTGTGTGCACAGTGGGTACCTAGAGAACTGAGAGATTGAGAAAAAATTAATCGAATGTGTCAGTCCATTCAACATCTCGTATGGTATGCAAATGAAGGAGAAAATATGTTTAACAGGATTGTTATTGGTTATGAATTATGAGTGCATCACTACCAACCCAAATCGTAGTATGTTTCAGTGCACTGGAAACATCCCAATTCAACCCCAGCCAAAAAGTTTAAAGTTACATCAGCTGGAAAGGTTATGCTTACCGTGTTTTGGGATTCTCGTGGAGTACTGTAAACCCATTTTCAGAAGCGTGGTGATAATGTGAATTCTGCAGAATACTGTGAAATTCTGTGGAAGCTTCAGGATGCAATTCACAGAAAACATCCAGATCAACTGGCAAGAGGGGTACTGCTTCTTCATGACAATGCCAGACCCCATACAGTCCGAGAAACCCAGGAGAGAATTCAAGAACTACAGTGGGAACGTCTTGAACATCTGCCTTACAGCCCAGAGTTGGCTCCTAGTGACTTCCAACTGTTTGGTCAGCTAAAAAACCACGGTGGCAGATGTTTCTTTGATGATGATGATGATGATGAGGTTGAAATGGAGATGTGGAAGTGTCTGAGACAACAGTCAAAAGTCTTCAGTGTTGCTAGTTCTGACACAATAGTAAAGCAATTGGACAAGTATATCAGTGTTGGTGGAGGATATATTGAGAAATAAATGTTTTTCCAGGTTCATATATCACATGCTTTACATTTTATGTCCATTTATGACCTGTTTACTGACTCTTCCTTGCAGAAGACCATACCAGATACACTGGAAGTCCCATTTGCAGTTCTTTGATGTAAGGTTTTCCCCATATGTCACATTCAGTTTTAATGACCGGAAATCAGTCATATGAGTGTTAAATTACCCAGACTTAAGATTTTCCTGAGTTTAATGTTCAGATCCATTAACCCCAAAAGAAACTTCTGAAGGGACTCTAACTGTAATTTTGTCTGACTTGTTCATAGCTTAGATGTAGGATCAGTTTCTGTTGACATAGTCTTTGCGCCCATACTATGGTAAGCATTCCTTTCATTCTCCACTTTGGAATATTTTTTAATCATCACATTTTCACATTTATGATCATAAGTTGGTAGGCAATAATTGACAGTGTTTTGGTTCAGAATGCTGAGGAGAATATATGAATGCAAGTGAGAGGAAATAACAGGAGGATGGAGAAAACTGAATAGTGAGGATCTCCACAATTTCCACTCTTTGCAAAATGTTACTAAGGTGATCAGATAAAGTGCACGGAATGGGGACAACATGTAACACACAAAAGGAAGGTAAAAAATACATAAACAGTTTAGTTGAGGAATCCAAAGGGCAGAATCCACTGTAAGAGACCTATGAAAGAAATGGAAGACAATATTGAACAACAAACAAACTCCGTGGTTTGTAGTCCGCAAGCGAACTATACCAACCGAGCGACTGCTGCTTGTCGGCGAAGTTAGTGCCAACTTTAGCGGATAGAGGGTGTCAGGTGGTCAGCACAACGGATCCCCACGGCCGTTAATCTCAGTTTTCTAGACTGGACATTTGACTGGGAGGGTAAATAAAACCACGAACAAACCTGTCAGTAGTTGGAGTCGGCCATGATCGAAACAAGGACCTTCCGAATACGAGTGTAAAGTGTTAACTGCTGAACCAACCCACTCGCTACTACTGCAGTGGACTCAGTCAGCAAGTCAACATGAATAAAGTCTGACGTCTAGCATCCTCTTGCTAGGAGAGCCGGGATAGCACAGTCGGTACAGCCGGTATAGTTACCAGCTTTAACCCAGGTACCCTTTATATAGGATTCTGGAGCCAGTCTACACCTTGTGGAGGAGAAAACAGATCTTAAAGAAACAGGATGTGAAATGTGGACTGGGTTAAAGTTCTCATGATAGGGTCCAGTGGTGAACTCTTGTAAACACAGTAATGAACCTTGGGATGCAGTGACGAGTTTCTATACAAATGATCAATTATTAGCTTCTTTGGAAGGACTGTACTTCATTAAATTAGTCAGTGGCAGTTGTCTGAGATAGAATAGTTATTTGTCTAGATATAAGCTTTTCTTAATTTTTCAGGTGCTGCAAGAAGAATGGCACTCCCTTTCACTTGTTCCGGTTATTATTGCTATATCATGACCCAGAATTATGCTCCTTTCTTGATACCAAACGGATAAGTCCAGACCTATACTGCCTCTCTTGGGTGAGTGAAATCCACTCCAATTCATGTTAGCGTATGTAGGTCTAATGAGGTTTGTTTTGAATAGCATGTACAGAAGTGAACCAGTAATGAACACACAGGCTCAGTGGAAAATTTTGCAGATGTTTGAAATATTTTTGATATAGTTTATTCAAATTCTTGTTGTAAGACAGAAAGAATATCTGCATGTTCTTAAAAACAGTTGACGTAACACTGACCATTACAGCATTGTTTATCAAAATGAGAAGTGCATGTCATTTGTGAGGCTTGTGAATTTCAAGAGAGATGATTTTATGGGCCTATACAGGAATTTCTTTTAAAATCACTATGTTAATTGGTTAACCAATTAACATTGCAGTCAGGGTTACACTGTATACAGCTGACCAGTTTTGCATATTCATTTAAATGAATAACCATGTTACTGATCATAGTCATTATCACAACGACAACAACCATCACCACTGCCACCACCAGTGCCACCATCCAAACAGGTGTTGAGCCATAAGTTGTTTCTTGCCATTACAGGGACCGCTTAAAAGTACTAATTTTTTGTGTGTTCAGAATGAAAATTTGCGAAAATGTACATACTAGCTTCACTCTGTATGCCCATCTGGCTGTATGTATTAGCATGAGAATAACTGAATGGATTTTCATGAAATTTAATTTTGGGAGTTTTGCAACAATTTCATGACATGTTGAAATTTTGGTTAAAGTCAGGCAGCACTAACAGACACTTCATAAGAAGACCTACATTTATTTGTGTACTCTTCTTGACTGTAACTTCCACAAATCACCAAATATTTGTCAGACTCAAAGATGTTTTAAACAGATGTTACATAGAAAATTGAAATGCAATGAACTCTTTATTATGTATGGTAATGCAGAGAAATGACTGTTTTCCCACTTCTAATTTGTCTTTGAAAGAAAATTCTCTTTCATTCATTTTAGAATCTATATAGTGCATAGGCAGTAATAGAAAATATTGTGAAACCCTCATTTAATGTTCCATGGTATAAGGTTCTACTTCAATTAGTTTTCAGTTTCAGTAATCCACATTCAACAATTGCAGTGTTAAAATTCCTGTCTGTAAGAGTTTTTCCTCAGCTTCATGTTCAGGTCTGCTGCTCCTCAAAGAAACCTCAATTGGAGGTTTTACTCTTGTCATTAGCTTTATTAACACATATTATTTTACTAGGTGATGTTACTTATATATACATCAATAATTTTTCCATAGTTGTTTAATGAAACTTTTGGTTACAAGGTACATAATGTGACATGTCAACACATTACCAGGTAACAGCTTGATAAACACCCTGTGATACACACATGCAACAACAGGATGAATGTTTATAGCTCATTGCTAGGCACCAGTCAATGCATCAATGAACTTGCTGGGTAGGAATCATGTGATGTCATTCTGTAGGTCCATGCCGAAGGTTTACAGGGGACAACAAAGGTCATTTGTGGGCAGTCATAAGCTGGAGGAGTGAGTAATAGATGGAGTTTTAGTTGAGTTTCGAGGTTCCAGGGTGATCGAACAAGAAATGGCAAGAAGACTCCATAGTGATTTGAAGTGCTAATTTCTGTGTTGAGATCCATTGCCAGGAGGCGACTAGTGAAAACTGAAAATCCTATTGTGTCTACAACGGAGAACTGTAAATTGTGTAAATCAACAATAGCACTGTATTTAAATGTGATTAAGAGAACTTGTAACTGAAGTGCTAATAAATCCAATCATCTGATCTAGAACCAAATATTTTTGTCACACATACCCCTGACACATGACAATAATATAAATTCTAATCTCATGTTATTATATGCACGATGCAGTTTAATTGTATAGAGAAGTTTGTTGGGTAGTCCTCCTTACTCTTTTGATTACATGTTTTGGATCACTGTATTACTTCTGTTCTATCCCACATCTCTTGTCTTGAATACCAACTTAGAATTTTTGGATGTTTTGCTTAATAATAAGTATTATTTTGATTTCCAGTTCCAGTCGCTGTTTGCGGCAACATGTACTTTACCAGTTGTGCAAGCAATGTGGGACCTGTACTTCCAACAAGCTGACTCATTCTTTCTTTTCTTCCTTGCTTTGGTTATGGTTGTTAATGCAAGGTAGGCTTAATGCTGTTTATTTTGATTATGTTAATAAACACTTCTGAATCTATTTAAACCAGTCTTCAAGTTTATGTGGTACATGTCTTAGTATCTCTTTAGATTTTATAAAATATTAAACTATGAAAGTGTTGTTGTTGTTTAAATTTTTATTTAAATATTTTATAATGTTAAATGTTCTAATACTCTTTTTGTTTGATTTGTCTTCACTGGATGTTTAAAGTTTACTATGTAGAAATCAAACTTTGGTTCTGATGAAGAAAGACAGAAGCCAGAATGTTAGAAACATTTTTAAGGATTGGATAATGATTGATATCAGAAACAATTTACTTGTATTTGCAGTAAGAGCTAAAGCAGATTAGAGAAATGTGTAAAGCATTTAGGCATCTCAGAAGAGAGAGACTTCTAAAAATTAGGTATAATGCAGGAAGCAGAGTTGCACTGTAGCATTCTGTTGTACTAATATTGTTGCCTTTTGTGTGTATGTGTAACCACCGTCTTAACACTTTGTGGACCAGTGGCATATTTTTATGCCCAGCGCTTTTAAATGTGGCGGACTGGTGGCATATTATTATGATTTTAGGACACGTTATGTTGAAACACACTATACCTTGCACTGGCGCCAGGCAGACACATGACTGGTGCATGATAGACCTCTTGAATGTTTGCTTCATAGTCAGTAACATGACCCCGCTGTTTTTGACCCAACTGTTTTCCTTTCCCACTCCAAAAGAAAATGCCTTTGTTCATCTTCCAGCTGCATGCACCAGGCAGGAAGTTACTAGTGCAAAATGGATCAAGGTCAGAAGAGGTTGAGGTTTTCTCGGAGAACAAGAAATATCTGACTTGTTCTCCGATGAGCTATCTGATGTCCCTTGTGAGTCTGCTAGTGATAGCGACTCACAATCTGATAGTGAGTGTGGCAGGGGCGAGCAAAAATTTGTGGCCACAGACAGTGAAAGTGGCAGTAGCTCCGATGAACATGCAGGTAGCAACATTGCGGGGACAGCCACATGGGGAAAAGTAGACAAAACGCCTGCTTTGGAACAGTTTACTGGAAATCCAGGGGTGAAGCAAATTCCATTGGACCCAACGCAAGTGTCTGAAGTAGCGGAACTGTTTTTTGGAGATAGTTTCTTTGACATGCTATGTTAGGAAACTAACAGATACTATCTCCAACACCGTGAATGTTATGACAGAAGTTATAAGGTGTTGAAGTGGGTGGATGTCACTTCAGCAGAAATGAGAAAATTTTTTGCAGTAATCTTTCTAATGGTCCATACAACAAAAGGAGTATGACTGTCTACATTGCAAGTTATTTCTAATGCCACTTCACAAACTTCACAAAAGGGAATGTTTCCAGAAATATCACACTCTCAAGCACTTCTAGGAGCATTGGTAAGTGTTCTCCAAAAATTTTTGTTCATAAAATTAATTAGGAGACTTTATATTAATATTTAAATTTAACAGTACACAAGTTAGGGTAGTAGGTTTAAAAATGCCAGTCCCCAGGGTGATTTAAATATTTAAATCACCGGTCCGCGAAGTGTTAAATGCAGCATTTATTTTCATCTTCCATGCATCTTATTACAAAAGGCAACAGTGCTAATAATAAGATATATGAAAGATGAAAATAACTGTTGCATTTAAGATGTTGGTTACATGTATATACAAAAGAAGAGATGACACACATGTTGAATGGAAACTATAGCCTTGTAGAAGAAGGATTCTTGTTACAAGTGAATATTTGTGCAGTATTTGTAAAAGAAAATGTTCATCTTTCATCAACCAACTCCATGGTTTAGGGCCATGCTAGATCATTTGATACTTGCTCCACTGGTCAATATTCCCTGTATCTGTTCAACCCAACGATTCATTGCCATTTTCGCCAAAGCCTACCAGTGCGCCATATCTTCAACCAGCACTGTCTGGTTCACATTTCTACAGTTGTTTTCACATTATTTTTTATATTGTTTCCCTCATGCATGTGTTGCTCTCAAGTGGTCTTATGCCTTGAGGTTTTGTGGTCAGGGTTTATATGCAGATCTCATTTCAGCGATACATGTATATTAGATACACTAAAAGTTATGAAGCTCCTCATTGCCTAAATTGTTTATAATCATGTGTTATTTCATCCTCCTTAGTGCCTTATATCTACCTTAACGCTATGTTCTGTGACACTGTCAATCTCTGTTCTTCCCTCAGTTTGAGTAGCCATGTTTCACACCAATACAGAACAACAGGCAAAATTATAGGTATAACATTTCAAAATAAAGGATTCTGAACTGAATGGGAATACTCGTTCCCCAGTTTTAATTTGTTCATAATTTAATCATGAATTTAATATTTGTTACTGGTGCTGTTACACCTAAATAGTTTAATTTTGTCACATTTTCATAATATGTATCAACTGTAGGATTTAGGGTTCTCATAGCATTATATCCAGAAGATAGAACTCTTTCTATGTATTAGCTTTTCTCATTTTATGAGTTTCAATTAGAATGTTGGAACTGTATTATTGTACTCCCAATTTTTTAACCTCTGATGAATGAAAAAGCTTGAATGCTAATTGTTCTATTATATCAGAGTCCACCAAAGTGTATAAGTAACTGATGTAGTGGAACATTGTTCTTTCATTTTTTCCCTGATTTCTGAGTAATGCAGAATATCTGTTTTATAGTCAGTCTATTACGTTGTAGTCCTCACTGATGATCCCCATTAATTTTACCAGAACAGTGTTTGATATGATTTTGAATGAAGTTTATATATTTGAGTTTCCTCTAAAATGATAGTTGGTTTTTGTCCATTTTTACAATAACAAATTACTATGAACAGATCTGTCTGATATTTAACTATGTAGCTAAACTCTTTCTCTCGAGAGTTACTATGTTATTCTGAGTTTAATATTGGCATTGTCATTGTGTTTTTGGTTTGTTAATGGTCATCAGATGTTGGAGTTGAATAAGTTCGATTTGAGGCTTTCACGGCGGTGACTATGAAGAAAGCAGTCTTCTGGGATTTGGCACCGTGTATATGTGGTGTTAACCGACGTTTCGGAGGAACGTATCGCCCCCATCTTCAGGGTTGAAGAAGTATAAGTAAATCTGCAAGCGACAACACCGTGAGACACGGTCAAGCAGACGTTCCTCCGAAACGTCGGATAACACCACATATACACGGTGCCAAATCCCAGAAGACTGCTTTCTTGAATAAGTTCATTCACAGTGCTTAGAAATATGCATTTCAACAGGGAGCAGATCCTGAGCATGAAGAATGAGAACAAGCAGAATATTGTTGATACATTAAGTTCGATGCCATGTGCACTGGAAGCCAATGATGTTACTGATTTTTGTTCGTTAGCGCAGTACTATGCCTTGAAAACACCAGGATCCTTCCGAAAGGTGAGATGCGTTTTACTTGAGGATATGTGCGATTTCTTCACATTTGTAAATTGAGCTAATTAAGTTTGAAACCTTATTTACATATAAGTCATTAGTAGTTGCATTTGAACACTTAGGTCCAGTGATTCATGTGCAAAATAGTATTTTTAATGTATGACACACCTCGCCAAAACTGCTAATTCTTTGAACATAGTAAAGTGCATCAGCCCTTCATTAATGATTGTTGTGCTTCGTATCCTACACATGTTCTTTGTAGGATTTTGTCTTTCTGCAAATTAACAGCAGCATAAGGATCACTGGGATGAAGTGTAAGCTGCATAAATTAATGGAAAAGATCTTAAACATAAAATTATATTTAGTGACATTGATTGTTTTTATGTTATTGCCACAAAATTAGTCAGTTTTAAATTTGCCATACTAATGTATATAATGGTTAGTGGTATACAGCATACTTGTGAAGTACGTGGTCTGACAATGAAGTTCATGAACTCATCATGGTAAAAGTGCTGCATACCTCATTGCTGAATATTATTGTGGTCGCATTCAAAGTACTCCCCTTGGGAAGCTATGCACTGATACCAGTGCCTAGTCCGCCCTTCAAAACAATTTTTTAACTGGTTTTGTGGAATGGCCTTCAGAGCTGCTGTTGTATTACTCATTATGTCACTAGTGTCATCAAAATGCCTTCCTTTCAATATTTCCTTTATCTTTTGAAGCAGAGAAAGTCGCTAGGGGCTAGATCCAGTGAATAGGGAGGGTGTTCCAGCACATTTATTTGTTTACTAGTGAAAAATTCCCCACTGGCAGTGTTCTTCGGTGATCTCCTTTGGTACTATTTTTGCAAGTACCTTCCCCATATCAAGATCTTCAGTTAAGATTTTCATAACTGTTTTTCTGTCAATGTTTGTTTGCTCTGCTATTCTCCTGACAGTCGGCCAATGATTTTCACGGACAATTTTACGAACTTTTGCAACGTTTTCTTCAGTTCTGCTTGTTGCTGACCGTCCTGATCTCTTCATCAGTGACACAATGTGTCACCCACTTGTAAACTGCTATTTTCTTCCAAGCACTAACATCTCTCTGCTTTCAGTTCACTCTTGTCAAGTTTAATAAGAAGCTTCGACATTCTCGTGACGGCACACCAAAACACACTTGGACAATAATAGACGCCACTTAGAAAGAGACTGCCATAGATCAACAACAACACAGCTGTGAAATGTTGACACTGCTGCAATGGCAAGCACACAGTGCTTACCATATCATTTGATCACACATTCATTCTTTGTCAGTATTAATTCCCATATTGATATTTTTTTAATGTATTGCTTATGAATACAGATAAAGGGAATACTGAATTCAGTATTGATTCAGAATAAGTAAAATACTGTAACAGAACTCACACAGATTATCTGGATACATATGTATATATGATCAGAAATAGAAACAAAACTAGTTGTTATAGAGATAATGGCCACGCCATAGCTCAAGCAGTTAGTCACTGGCTTCGCACCATGGCGGCCCAGGTTTGATCCCAGGTCTGGTCAAGTGGGATTTGTGGTGGACAAAGTGGCGCTGGGGCAGGTTTTCTCCGAGTACTTCGGTTTATGCTTCCTTCTGAATTATTTCCAATTCGTCAGTCATCCTACCGTTTGTCACTGTGTAGACTAGATACTAATGGGATCATAAAATAAACAACGGGAATAGAAATTAGAGAACTTACATATTTCATTTAGAATCTGTGTTTAAAGTAATGAAATAAGATCTCTGTGCAGCTGACATTAAGGGAAGCACCTTCACTCCATTCCCACTGTTTGCATGGTTTAGACCCAGTAGTGACTAATGTAGCACATTTACACATTACCAGTGTCTATATATAATAAAAACTTAGAATAAAGATAATTTCTGACCCAAGCATATTGTGTCTGAGAGAAATATGATTGTAAGGTTAGTTAGTTAGTTAGTTAGTTAGTTATTGGAGAGGGTGGGTTTCCCCATGCACTTAGACCAGTACTGGTCCATTGTGCTTCCCTCTATGATATTCTACCAGTCTCTATACCCTACCGATATTGGTGCGTACCATCAGTCCCGACCGAGCCAGCGAGTTTGGCCTCTACTGGCTTAGTGGTATCTATAATGCTTCCCCCATCTATCAGAGGCGTTAGAGACTACTTGTTGGGCGGGAAATGTCCTTGAATTTGGCTCAGTGACCTCCTTTGGAGATATGAGGTTCTTTTATGTGCCGCAAAGCTACGTCACGGGACCCACAGCTTAAAGTCCCTCCCGGAGGACTTGTTCCCTGAATTTTTCTGTCCTTAAAAATTCCACGACCTCTGCCACGTTTGAACCCGCATACCACGAGTCGTGAGGTTGGAACTTTACCTCTAGACTACGGAGGCCACTTCAGAGGTTAACCTTTAATTGTTTCCTTTTGTGTGACTTAGTACATTGATTAGTACTATTTATGTGGTGTATCATAGAGTTTGATTGCTATTGTCATGTTTCATTACTTCAGTTATAAAAGTTTGAGGATTTATTTATTTAGTCTCTGTTCTGTTGCTCTAATATTTGTCTGGATACTTTAAAAGGAGGATTAAAATATGTTGCTGCATTTCCAATTGCAGCTGGGTAGATTGCTTGCAATTCTGCGTCTTTAAATCGGGTTTTAAGATAATTCATTAATTTTCAATCTGTTTCATAAGATTTTCAAATGGTAGAAATTTCTCCTTCTCTGAACGACCTTCAGTTTCAGTAATTACAGTGTCTTTATGTTACAAATTATGACTTATGACAAATCTCTCTGCAGGACTTGCTGAAGGTATTGTATGGTGATAGTGACGACTTAACAGAAACTTCAAGTATCTCACAAGCCCTCTGTCTTCCTGTGTCAGCTGAGGAATTAGTAGAAAATGCAGAGTCAACACAGAACTTAGATAGTATAGAATGTGTTCGCTTCTTCCTTGTGGATTGTCGTCCAGCTGAACAGTATAATGCAGGACATCTACCAACAGCTTTTCATCTTGATTGTAACTTGGTAAGATATGATCTCTGTTTACTAGAAGCACATTGTGTCATCTTCCATAAGAACCTTAGGTCTTGCTGATGGTCACAATATTGTCCTGTTGCCATGTAATACAGTACATAGTATTTATGCGTGAGATAACATGTCATGATTAACCTTTAAAGGGCAAATATCTGATATATTCATGCCCAAGTGACTTGGCAAGCAGCTGAATGTCCAATAATTCAAGTAGTTACTATAGGATTCTGACGATGGTGTATAACACACTGATATGTTGGGATTTTGGACTTTGATTTTGATTGAGGCTAGCTCTTTCTAAGGGACCCAACTGAATAGGTGTTTTCCTTCACCTGAGGACGGAAACAGATCCAGTTTCCGAAACGTCGTGTTTTTATTTGTTATCTTAAAAACCAGGACGATGGATAAAGTCCAAAATCCCAACATATCAGTCCAATAATTCAGTCTCACATCTTTTTGAAGAGCTCTTCTAATGCCCTATGTTTATGCTTAGACCAAACGAAGCATGGAATTTTACTCTGCAAGGTTTCAGCATTATCTTTGAGAGAAAATGTGGTAGCCTCAATGTCTCACGACCCTGTGGGCCTTCACAGCCTGTTACAGGGACAACTTTACCTCTTTTTTTTTTGTAAACCATGCATCAAATTTATTTTCCTGTGCCTACAGCTATTCTAATCATGTGAAACAATTTTCTGACACTCTTAACCAAGACAGCAAATACATTTTCCTTCTCATTCCTTTTTCAGCATCTTTAACAGTAGGATTGCTGTTCAAACTTGATAAATATACATGAGGGAGGTAAAATATGTGAGGGAAAATGAAAATTATGTATGATCAGGTGTATGTCACAGTTGTCAGTGGCGGATTTTTACTGCCCATCTGTAATTTTCTTTGTTCATGTGCATATGGAGCAGTTTTACGAACAGAGAAGAAAAGTGAGGAGAGGATAGCATTGCTACTGAACAAGATATTCCTGTATTCAGTAGCTAATTTGATTCCTCATTATGCTTCTTTCTTTTTCCATTTTCAAATGAGTTTAGTAGACCAGAGATCTGCACTCAGTATGGCAGGACCTTCGAATTGCATGTGTCTTTTAGCCAATTTAGCCTCTGTGCAGTATGTTGACATCAACTCAGAAGAAGAGCTGGAAGATCCCACACTTCAGTATCCATCATCTGCTGAAGATTTTGAGTGCCACCACAACTTCCTTCTGATAAGGCAGATGTGCACAAATTTGTGGGAGGAATGGGCTGAACAGGGCTGCTGCACCCAGTATTGCTGAAAATTCACAACCCTATGAGCTCTTCTTGATGTATTTTAAGACCATCGTGGCAGTAATTGTACAAGAGACCAACCGATATGTGCAACAAGATGCACAAGCAAGAAATAAAATCAGATATTCCATATTCTCAGTGAATAAGCATGAAGGATCTATACGCATTTCTTGCTGTTGTAGTTCAAATGAGTCATGACCACAAGCCCACTATACATTTATAGAACAATTTTATTGATCTGGTGCAAATAGACACATAGATGTCAGCCAAAAAATGATAAAACATTTTTAAAAGTATGAGGCATTCATTCCTCTATTGTACTGTTTTTGTTTAATTGAGATACTTAAATAAACAGCAGTGATATATTTTTTTTCTAGTCTGGTGCAATTACAATTTAAAACTACCACCTGAATGGCTCAAAATTGGAGCCTCATATTATACCTAAAGAGAAAGTATTTGGAATGTTACTTTGATGACTTGCTGTCCCGACTAGGTTTTCTTTATGATACATTTGAGACAGTATCTTGATATAGGCCATGGCTACTTTCTTTTTCATCAATATCATCTCATAATCATAATAACCTTCTAGGCAAAAGACTGTCCCTAGGCGCTAGGCCTCACAAACATTTAGTACATAAAAGTAATAAATGAACTTGTAATTTGTTTACATTTGTATGATATGAAAGAGTTTTCAGAATTTGCTGAGAAGTTGCTTAGGTTGCAAGAAGTTCATGGAGGTCCTTGCCTCATAGGCCTTATCTTTAACACAATTTGCCATAGAAGTTCTTTCAGTAAGCTTATGACACTCAGCAGATGTCGTGCCTTCCCTTTATAAGTCTCTTTTGCTGCCGCTTCGGCTAGACGGCCCCAGCCTTATGGAATTCCCTATATATTCATCTCTCCGCACTTGTCTGAACATCCATTATTCTCCCGCTCCCTGCAGATGAATGGTTTTTCTGTACTGCAAGAAAATTACGTGTTAACATATTTCATTTCTTGTGTTTTTACTCATGTGAGATTAAATAAGATTGTGTTCATGTGTACAAAAATTTGTTTTGCTTACATGGCAGTAATATGAGTGTGGATGGAACTTTGTTAGAAACACCATTTTTGTGTCAGTTAAAGAAAAGTTAACATCCACTGGTGAAATATGAATAGTATTTCATGAGTGTACCAAAAAATACAAGACTGTGCTAACTTTACAATAATTTGAAGGATTTTACTGAACAGATGAATGAAAGGAAGTCAGTGAAGAAATTTGAAATGAACTGAAAGACAATTTCAGAGTAATTTAGTGTTACATAAATCTTTGTCATTATGATTATCAAAGAACTTTTAAAAAAGGGGGAGTTATGTAATTGATATGCTTTGGTAGGTGATAGAATTAGTGTATTTTTAGGCTTATATTAATCTCTGCAGTAGCACTTATTAGCATCTATGTTTCTGTGCCCATTTGTGCATATTTACCTATGGGTGGTAGAAGGCATAGATGAGCCTAAAGAGGTCTCAAGCCTCCCCCAACCAAAAGAGGGAATTATATTTGTACCAAGAGGTGTAAGGTGTTCACTCATAGATCCCAGGGTGAAGCCCCTGTTTTTAAAATATTCTCAGTTTATGTTCAGGTCTTCATAACCTTAGCATTTGATACAATATCATAAAATAACCTAACAAGAACCATGCAATTATTGTTAGGTATGTTAATACATTTCTGTACTAATGCTCTAGGTATTAGTTCAGACCATATGAATGTTTTCCAGGTATTAATTTTTAGCAAATTTCAGATGCTTCAGGAACCAGCAGCCTTCTCTACTGCTGTACAAGGTTTGCTGTCAGCTCAGCGACAAGCATTAGCTGCTCGGTCAGCAGCAGGTGGTGAACATTTGTGCTTCCTTGGATCAGGGAGAGTTGAAGAGGATCAGTACACTCACATGGTTGTTGCTTCCTTTTTGCAGAAGCACACACACTATGTTAGCATGCTCACTGGAGGATATCAGGGTAAGTATTGAAAATGGTATGTTTTACTGTAATTGTATTAAGAAGGGTAGCTAATAAATCCTTTGAAAATGTGACAGTGTTCAGATACTTGGGTACAGCAGTAGCAATCCAGAGGTAGTCATGATGGAATTGAGAACCATCTAAATTAGCAGAGTGCTTGGTACTTTTCAGTTCAGTACTGTATGAACGCCTGGAGAATAAACTATACAAAACTCTTTTAAGTTTTCATATTATTTTATATGGAGGTGAAACTTGGCCTCTCAATTTTAGCACTGTCACTTCACCATCTCTGTGGAACTGCATCCATGTATCAAAATTCACACTTTGAAGCTCTTTGTCTCTTATTATTTATGTAACACTACATGTTTTGGCCTAACTGGCCATCATCAGGTGTGTAAGATTGTAGATGAAAACTGCTTCCGTGTTGTTACACTGTTGTAGTTAGCATTTTGCGAGTAATGTAAAATGCTTATAAAATATTTTAAGTTTTTTTATTATTACGATTATATATAATTTTAATATATGGAATTTTTCCACATGGTGCTTGCAGCCTGTAATTACAGGTATTCTCACTTAATCATATTAGAGAAATTTAATGAGACTGTGTCCTCGCACTCTACTGGATATTATGTGCATTTGCCACAGTCTATATCACTTTCATTTTTTGTTTCATGGTTCGTAGCAGGGCTCCAGAAATATAGCTGAAATCTACTAGTCACTTAACAAAATTCAGTCATTCAAGTTTCACATAGTGCTTCATACAAATATCTTTATAAGAGATTAATGTAACACACACTGACAATTCATTGGGAAGTCTCATCCTTTGTTATATAAACATTTATGCTGTAATGTTCCCCTGGTTTCTCCCATATTGTTTTTCAGGCCTCCAAGTTACTGAAACACTGAAACTGACATATATCCCACCTGAGTGACATGCACAAATAGTTAACTGTAAACCATCTTTCCTATAGCATACTGCACTTCATGTATATACATCAAAACATTATCGTTGCTCGCAGAATAGACACAGTATGCTGAAACAGAAGGCTCCTCACTCATTCATGACCTACTACATAATTTATGTTCCTACAGTGTGTTAACACTATTACTAATGTTATATTTTAGCGTCCTGTTGCACTGATCCATGTCCATGATTTATTCCAGCCGTCTTACAGTGCACACTTTCATCCACCTCACTCTTCACTCCTGCACTACATGTTTCGGCACAAAGGTGCCATCTTCAGGTGCTATTCGATTTGTGCCGAAACATGTAGTGCAGGAGTGAAGAGTGAGGTGGATGAATGTGTGCACTGTAAGACGGCTGCAATAAATCATGGACGTGTTAACACTAAGTAGTTTGTTGCTATGGTAACCTAAAATTATGTAATAGTTTATAAATCTCACTTTTACAAAATGGTTTTATATATGCAGGATGGAACTGAATTCATGCACAAGCTGTCCATAGAGTGATTCCTTGTTAAAAAATATAATCAAAAAATGTACAACATATGTGTTAAGATGGAGATACATTCACAGTTAGATAGAGTAACATACTTCTCAGTAGTGTTATTTGTCACAATGATATGCACCTCATTAAGTGTACTCAAGATGCATATTGCGCAGCAGGGGTTATTTGAACAGTTTATCAGATTTTCTATTGAAAGTTACATTTGAATGTTACAGCAATTCATGAGAATTTTGGTGAAGATGTAGGCAACAGTTTAGATGAGCATAATGCTCAGAGTTGCCTTGTATGCACCCCTGATAATGCAAGTGAAGATTCAGAAACTTTTCGACCAAATGCAAGCTCCTCAGATCTGTTGGGAAAAATCAGGTATTGCATTCTGTTTTGGCATGGTCGGTCATAACTGTGAGTATTTATGAAGTTAAAGCTGAATTTGGAATGGAACTTATAACATTCTTTTGTCAAAATAAAGTATTGTAGCGATTAATAGGTGTAAGTTTACAGAGCATCTTATTGACCATGTTGTTTGTTTGTTCTTTTGTTTAACAAATGTTTATCTACTGCATAGGTTACCTACCATTAATTAAGATAATAGGGGATGCATTTTGAAATGGAAAAAAATTAGAAGGAAACAACCATCACATATTTGAATAATTCTGGGATTTGAACCTGAGATGAGGCAGAAGCACTACCACCATATATTTGCCTTTCATCATTTGTCATTCTCTGTTGTGAATAGTGTATGTTAATGCAATATTTGAGAGAAGCACTTAGAATAAAGGCCTGTTATTCATGTTTTAGACATACTGCTTCTTTGTTGTGAATTAGGTGAATATGTCTGTTACTCTTTCCTTGCAGTGCAGCTATGAAACTTAAATCAGCTGAGGTTAAGGGAAAGCTTTTCGACTATATTGTGAATCCAACAGGAAGTAATGCAGTGGAACGACATGTTAGTAGCGCAGATAAACTTGGTAAACGTTACCGTAATATGGCTCCAGTCTTCAGTATTGATGAAGAAGATGGAGGTAAGTTGCTTTGGTTTTTATGCTTCAGCACAAATAATGAAGATACTTTGACAAACTGTCTTCATCAGCAGATAATTTTACCACATATTTTTAAATGTGCGTTTTTTTTTTTAATTTCAAGCCAATTTGAAAAATAGTTTATTCTACACAGCTGTTATATTTTGTATATAAACATTCAATTGACTATTAAATCATAGCAGAAACCATATATATCTATCTTTCTCTCTCAGTTGAGATGTCGATGAAATAAAAGCGTTTTGTCAGCTGAGTAGACAGTGCCAGTAATTCAGCCTTAGTAATTCACTGTATTTTAATTAGAAGACTGAAATACCTTCCTCTTCTTTTTCAAAATTTCAGGAAGGAAATACAACAGTTGGCAAGGGAAAGGTGGTTCTTGATAAATGAAACAAATGAAACCAGATTGAGGGAAAGTCAGAGTATCAACAAATTGGAGAGACTGAACACCGCAGCTCACAGAGTAGTGAAAGAAAAGTTACTGGGTCTTCCTTTTTAAAGACTGGATTATTCCAATTTGATCTTCCTTGGTTTTAATGGCTGCAGAAGGTTTTTTTTAATGTTTGTAACATATATGTCTGTAAAGATTGTTTTAATATATGCACGAGTAATTTGTTTTATAAAGAAATATTGTTCAGTTGTGATTAGAAGTTATATGTTTATATTAGCATGCACCATTCTGATGCATACAGAAACATAACCATCTGTTTCTATGAAGACAGTTTGTCAAAACACTACACCTATCTGTTTCTTCAGAATGTGTCAGTTCCTATATTTCCATTCCTGCCCAACAGCAATAGTTATAGTAATTTTCAGTATGTGTCTAAAGATTGTTGATCTTCCCACAGTACGTATACATATATGATTAATTGAGTGTGTTTGAAGATGGTGCTTGCTGATATACTCATACAAATTGTATTAATTATATATGTCATTTTGCCAGTAAAACCTTCACAGTCCAGGATAGTTCACCTGTAGAATTCACTCAGTAGAGAATATATCTTGTGAGATTCAGTCAGTTTATTTTTTAAGTGTGCTTCATATAGAGAATGATCTCATTAGCTTAACAGGGCCTATCCAACCATCTAAAAGCATATATCAAGCTTTCTTCTCCTTGGTGGATTTTGGAATAATTTATTGCAAGTCTTCAGGCAGGAATGTAGATCTGCCGTTAGCTAACACTACAGTAGTATTTAAATATCTTGCAATAATTAACATTAATAAGACTATGTACTGTAACATATCTGAACTTTGGAACAGCAGTTTTTTTAATTAGAATTTGATTTTGGAATTCCAGATCTTGAAGCATTATTCAAACAAGCCTAAACTTACTCCACAGTCCTTGCATTAATTAGAAGGTTTCTTCCTTCTTCCCTTTTCTTGAAATAAGCTGCATTTTGTGGAGTGCTTTATCAGTTTGACAGATCCTCTCAAGTAAGTGCCTTGTAATTAGCCACAGGGTGCACTGGCCCTCATGATAAGGAGTTTCCATTGCCTTTCTATTACCTCTAACAGTTTCCTTCTTAGTTTGGTTCTAAAATTGCTGAAACAGCTTTTTTGCCTGCGGACTTGATATATTTGGCAACCACATGAACAGTTTTTATACTAATAGATTCTAAAGGGTTCTGACAATGGTGGATCACACAGAATTACTGGGTTTTTGGACTTTTTTCCGTTGTCTGGAATTCTAGAAAATAGAAAACATGACATTTCGGAAAATTGGATCTGTTTCTGAAATGTTGCGTTTTCTATTTCCTAAAATTCCGGATGATGGAAAAAGTCCAAAAACCCAGTAATTCTGTGAATTTTTATACCGTATGGTACTAGTTTTTTCACAGGAAGATATGGTTGCAATATTTGTCTTCTGAATACATTTCTCCCATATATGAATTGTATTTACATATGCTGTTTGCTTATACCCATCTTTTAATTTTGCATCTTGGGTACATCTTTACCAGCATGCTCCATTTTTGTTCAAAAGGAGGTAGAGTTCTAATGAATAACAGCATTCCAATGGTGGTTCTGCTAACTTCATCACTGTCACAGTTGTTTCCAAACGTACTCTTAGTTGAGACTACATTACGTGTTACCTCAGTAATAAGACCACTATATACAGGGTATTATTATCATTAGCATTATCATTAGTATCATTATTATGCGGTACTTTCATACTTATAATTTATTTGTTGTTGAGCACAGCGGTTGTATGAAAATTTCACAGGTCGTTCTGCACATTGGACCACAACACTGACACTACAACATATTCCATATAACTCTCTGGATGCATTGCATCAGCAACAGTAAGCCTTGGATGAGACCTGAAATCACATATTTTCCTTGTTAATGTGATCATTTAAGTGGAAATATGCTTCATTAGAGAGTCATATGACATTCGAGACACCTGGATTGTCCTCCTTTAGCACTCAGTACTCCCTCACAAAAGAATAATGTCTCACTATTTTATCTTCCAACAATGGCTGACATATCTGCATTTTGTATAGAAACAAAAGCAAGTCATCACAGCAGGTTTTCCATGCAGTGCTGGTTGAGACCCCAATGTGTTTTGTTGAACATCATGCACTTTTTCTTGGAATTTTTATTGTCGTTTTCTGTGCTGTACAAACAGATGTGATACATTTGTGTCTCTATGCACATATTTTTCACACACACACTTCCTGTTTCTTCAGCTTTATAACAATCCAGCAGACAGTATCTCTTGATGGTACAACATGAACATAAAACTCCTGGTAATATTTTCTTACCACAGCAACATGAGAAGCACCAAAGGGGTAAAAGGTCATGATAAACATTTTCTGATCTGACATGTGTGACACCGTCTTGTTACTCTGTTCAGCATTGCCAATAGCAGTAAGTGAGTTTCCCAAATGTGTAGAACAGTCTATGAAAGTTTGACAAATTTATGTTCAGTAACAAAGAAGTTACTCAGATCTTAGTGTCAGTTGATAAAAAGCACTGTATGTAATAGTTCATTCAGCATTCATATCCATCACAAACATAAGTGGAATAAAAAACTCTTAATTATTGTGATCCAAATTATCTCATCTACAATATGAATGAGGAAATGTTTTTATGTGCAGTAACATCAAACATGTTCAATATGTTACCTCTATAACAGATTATTCTGATAATTACTGATGTGATCTTGTTCTATATGGAAATGCCTCAGCAATCAAATTGAAATCAATCAATCATGCTTATATATTGCTTTATAAATTATAATAAATAATGGACTAATTATATGTTATAGTTTGTTGATTTTCAAAATCCAGGCCCACAGATTATAAGAACTTTGTGATTTCTACAGGTTCGGCTTAAAATAATGAATGGTTTTGCATAACTGTTTGCAGATTTTGATTTTATAACGTGAAAATTAAAGAACATGTGATGGTTACAAATAAGTCAGCAACCGTAGTATGCAAATGTATTGAGTACTGAAGTTAAAGAATGCAGCATCAGGACATTAATATAAATGTGGGTTGTACATAGATGTATTTGGTGAATATGAAGGCATCTGCCTATTACTTTACTTCCAGTTTTGATATCATCAAGATGTGTAATTAAGTAGTGTTGTTGTTTTCTATTAAAAGTTGTAATATACTATTTCAGCAACACATTAAACTTATGACCTGTTTGTATATGAAGAAGGCATTTATAGTTGAATGTATTCAAGGTTCACTGCAGATACTTTCTGAGATGGTCTTGTTATTTAGATGGGACACTGTAACATTTAAAGAGACAGAATGACAGGTACCTTATATGTCATTATATATGACATATAAGATACCTGTCATTCTGTCTCAAAATGCACCACATATCAAAGTTTGAAAATATTTCTAAATAACTTCTTTTAACTTGAAAAAACATTTGTGTGAGATTTGAGGTTCTCATGCCAGTGAATATCAAGTTTATGATATTTTGGGCTTAGGTTTTTTGGGGGGGGGGAAGCCAGGTATCTGCCTGCTCCTTTATTTTTGAAGGAAAGAAATCAGTTGAAAAAAGAAGAAATTATATCAAACATTAACACCAAAGCAAAAAAAAAACTGTTTCCTATAGTCCGCAAGGGAACTATTAACACCAACAAGCAAAATTGTTTCATTTTGAATGTTATTTGCTGTACTGAATGTTTTAGAGCTGTCAGTAAAAGTAGTCATACATTTTTTAAATGTAAGTTTGTAAGCAAATTTTCTGGCTGTCCTCAAAAAACTTACTGCCTCCCATTGTAAGAATAATCTTGGTAATACATGTGCTTATGGGGATGTCACACCATGTAGTTTGGTAGATAGATACCAATGTTGAGGTGGAACCTGCTGCTACCATCTTTGGGGAAGACTCCCTGAAGATGGAGGTAGCATGTTCCTGTGAAATATTGGTATGTACCTACAAGACTGTGTCACATCCCGTAAGACCAGAGTTTGAACAATATCTGCATGATAACCTTGAAAGTCCTTATATGCTGTCATGATTGACCCTTTCTGTTCTACAAAGATGGTGAGTACAGTGAAACATCAGTTTTACACTTCTGAAAAGATGACCAAAAATAGATGTAAAATCAGAGAATGTATAAAAGTGGGAAAGTGGAAATGATATAATTGAAGAAATATGTGGATGTCTTTACATCGTAACTTTGACAGACCATTTGAAATATGAATGTTTGAATAAAATAATGGCCAGCCATTTAAAATATGTATGTTTGAACGAGGAAATAGTAAATGAAAATACACTAACCTGTATACTCTATACACAAGTTCAAAAATGCACATTAACTTGCACTGAAATATAAATTTTAGCATATATCAAATATTTTTTCTGCTATATGTATTTCAGGCCAAAAGGTAATTAAATGGATTGCCATGTTTATATACAAAGCCTAGTGCTGTGTTACAAATAAATTCATAGTAAAAGAAATGGCTGCAGATACCTGAAAATAATGGCAAGCATGAAAGTTTATTTGTATGTTTGATTGG